GTTTATATTAGACATCTTCTCGGTATAATGTCGCTCCTTAAATTACAAAAGCACTGCTAATACCTACCTTATTATTAGCGAACATTTGACTGTTATTCCGTGAGAAGTCATTCAAACGCTCTTGGACTCCATTTGACTGCTCACAATGGCACTTCGCTTGTAACTTAGGTAGCTGCACGCCAAGTTCGACTTGACACAAACAGAAAAACACAATCACTGCTGTAATACTAAATRTTGTCGACAAAACACTTGCCATTATCTATATATTATATATTTCGGTAATCTTGAAACGGTCTTACTATTTTAACTCTAGAACATTTGATCATTTGAAGAGCTATAATCGAARCTCCGGATGTGAAAAATGAAATAGGTATGTCTAGAATTACGTGGTAAGTACGTCAATACCATCACCAGCCAATCAGGATTGAGTTTCTCGCGGCAGACAAAATAMAAACTCACTTCAGGTCATAACATTAATCTTTTTTAAAATTTCTTGTCCATGGCCAAAAAATTTGTTTCAGTGTAACTATAATTATAAACCTCTGAGGGTTTCCATACTTCGCATAAGGGTAAAAAGTCGTTGATGATATGGACATGCTGCCCGCGAAATACATGAAATAAAAGAAAGTTAAGAGCTTGGAAAGAGGTTATCACAGGTTTTTCCTGTGATTGATTTGAAGCACCGTCGCTCATTAAAGCTCGTCACCTGTTTAAACAGTGAGGAAGTCTCAAGCTCACGTAATCAATATAAAGGGTCTATCTTACTAGAATACAYGAGAATTGATACTTTATCTTGTTTTATTTTACATTGGCGAAAATGGACAGACTTAGCAGAGGGGAAGGATTAAATATCTAAATATCARTATATTTTTCTTTTGGCACAAAACCAGAGAGTTATGTATTTTGATCAAAYTGTGTTTACTGAGTGAAGAAGTAATTTGGTTAGCGTGGCCAACTTATACCACTTACTGCATCTTGAATATTTTGATAAAGATTYATTAGAGTGAACACACTTTTAAGTGATGGGTTATAACGGATTAAAATCCATGAATTTTGCACAGTATAGACTCCGTGTACTATGTGTGCTGCCGTAGGTTTTGTTCTCTTGACGTCATTTCTGTGTCTATTAAAGTGAAAGACGCTCCGAAAATGGAATCTGCTATTTAATTAACCACAAGTAAACAACAGAAACGAATAGTATAACAGTGATGTATACATGCACAGAGTATACACAATGTTCTTTAAAATTGTCACATGAATATCAATATCTGAACTTTGAAGAAAATGATATTTAAATCAGTTTTTACGTTGTTGAACTATATAAGGAAAAAATACGTTTAGCASAAAAAAGGTGAGAAGGGAAAACAGAAAAGAACAAGAAAAGTGAAGGAAGATAGAATGGAAAGAAGAGAGAAAAATGAGAATTTTTTTCTCGTAGAAACTTCAGTGCTTCGCTGATAMCTCAAACTTGTTGACTTGAAAAAATTACTCTCTCTCATTGTTGTTTTGTGTAAAGAACTTTTATGAGATCAAAACTGAAAGGTTTTCATTCTTGAGAGTGAAAGAGGATGACGATTAGGGAATTAAAAAAAGAAAGAAAAGAAACAGGAAGGCGTCGAACAGAACTTCGTAATGACTAGTGCTATGGATAGACTTTCGTGGCTATCAAACACATCTTGCTACTATTGTAAAATAAACTTGCTTTAATGTATTTAATAAGAACAGTAACATGATTATAATAATTTTTCGATTTRAAATAGATGTGATGTCACTGGTTGCTAGGCGACAACTGAGACAACTAGATGATCCAAAATGTCTCCTTTGACAAACACAATGTGTGACAGATGGTCCCATGATACTTTTCGAGTGTGMATATTTGAGTCAATATCTATAAACCCTTTTAGCGATATCTTTTACACTRTTGTGTACAAAGATAAATTTAAGATATTCCATATATGATCACTATCTAATGTCACATCTGGTTCACGGGTTTAACSCGCCTTAAATTATGATACCCACATATAAAACAATATTGAATCTATTCTGTGTAAACAGATAGTTTTTGCTGTGTTTTTTTTTTTATCACGAAAAATAGAGTGAAATTAACACTAAAGGCGTGAATAAGCACAATGGACCAAATAATACTAAAAAGCGTATTATAAAATTTTTGATATATAACGCGCGCTCTGATTGGCTGACGACCGTGTTTATATCAGAGGACAGAGACACGCGCGCCGTTTTATATTTCTTATCATAAAATTTTTGATATATAACGCGCGCTCTGATTGGCTGACGACCGTGTTTATATCAGAGGACAGAGACACGCGCGCCTTTTGATATTTCTTAAATATAGTGTAGCTGAGAAAAAAGAAGAAAAGAAATTCGCATTATTCAGTAAAATTTAACTTTATCCAATTACTACATACTTTTTCCCGGTTTTAGCGTTTCCACTATGTGCATTCATAATAAGCGTGAAATTATATAATAACAATTCAGTAACAGTAATTCTATGAAATTCTACAATAAAACGACAATTGTACATTTGATAGAATTGTTCAATTTCACAATGTCAATCTTTCACGCTTATTACATAAATGCATTTATTTTAAAAATATTTTTTTTATAAAAAAATGATATTGAAGTACGAAATAGCGCCTAAATATGACGTAATRAAGACGTCTCATCGAAGCGTAATGATGACGTCACACATGCATCACCATGGCAGCCTGATCATTCAGTCGACGAATGACGTCTTCCTTTTGTTCGGGCCATAGTAGCATATTATGGTTCATCCAGGGGGGGAGCTGCTTGGTGGTCATTTTGGGWYCCATTTTRAYACAAACAATRCGTGACGTAGARCAGTTCTCGGAGTAGACGTCAGAGATCCTTTTGATCTCATAGCGCACGCGYACTAGGTCTTGRTCRTTCACGTTGTTGAATTTATTATCGACTCCACTGCTGGTTAAAGAYTGCCAGAGTCGTACATATCCAGGGCTGCAGAAAACGATGTATTTCTTGGCYTCAAGGATCTGCTTGTCCACCCACATGTTGAATCCAATCTCGTTCATGTGGACAGAATCGACTTTGTCAAATGTTACCTAAAAATGTGGCAATCGTAATGATCATCATCATTATTATATCATCATGTCAGTACCTTCACGGCTTATATTCAATAGTTGCTAGTTCGTAGGCGATGGTCGACAACTCGTTTGAGAACGTTTCTTCATCAACATCAACATCAACATCAACATCAACATCAACATCATCATTATCATCAACATCATCATTACCACCATCATGCCAGTACCTTATATCCCATGGTTCCCAGTTTGTAGGCGATGGTCGCCACTTCGTTTGAGAACTTTTCGTTTTCAGGTAAGTACGATGCAAAGTAAATGTCATTATTTTGTGGTTTCATGGCTAAAGACAGATAAAAATGTTTTTCTCATTTGTTTATTTTTATGGTGGGATGAGAAGAATAAATTGACTATGGGGGGAGGAGAAGGGATTGATTCTGGGGGAAGGGGGGATGGGAGAGGAAAAGAAATTGTACTTACTATTATTGATCTTAACAAATCCTGTATGTAANGGATCTGCTTGTCCACCCACATGTTGAATCCAATCTCGTTCATGTGGACAGAATCGACTTTGTCAAATGTTACCTAAAAATGTGGCAATCGTAATGATCATCATCATTATTATATCATCATGTCAGTACCTTCACGGCTTATATTCAATAGTTGCTAGTTCGTAGGCGATGGTCGACAACTCGTTTGAGAACGTTTCTTCATCAACATCAACATCAACATCAACATCAACATCAACATCATCATTATCATCAACATCATCATTACCACCATCATGCCAGTACCTTATATCCCATGGTTCCCAGTTTGTAGGCGATGGTCGCCACTTCGTTTGAGAACTTTTCGTTTTCAGGTAAGTACGATGCAAAGTAAATGTCATTGTTTTGTGGTTTCATGGCTAAAGACAGATAAAAATGTTTTTCTMATTTGYTTATTTTTATGGTGGGATGAGARGAATAAATTGACTATGGGGGGAGGAGAAGGGATTGATTCTGGGGGAAGGGGGGATGGGAGAGGAAAAGAAATTGTACTTACTATTATTGATCTTAACAAATCCTGTATGTAAAAAAGGAAAGCATAAGAATTATTTCTAAAAACGTTACATAAGAATCTTAAGAAATGGATAAGAGCATAAATAAATGAATGAAAAAATAAATTAATAAATACAAAATCATAAGAGCGAATAAAATAAAATGAGGTTATTAAACAAAATGAAATAAAATAATATGAACTAATAAGTCAACAAACGACTGAAAAAATAAATGAACGAATGAGAACAAAAGAAAATAGAGAACAAAGGTATAAACAGTATAAACAAACCTTCTGCATTGTTGTTTTCTTGCATTGAAATAATAGAATGCCCTTCAACAAAATTAAAAAAATATATATATAAGTCTTAATATCTTTGAGATTCACTGGAAAAAATCGTTCACTTTAAAAGGTTGTAAATTTGATGTAAATATATATTATGTAAGTGTCCAAAATGATGTAAATTTGATGTAAATTTGATGCTTAAATTTGATGTAAATTTACATCATTTTGGACACTTACATAATATTTACATCAAAATTTGCAACCTTTAAAGCGCGCGATGTTTTCCAGTGATTCCTCTTTCCTTCATCTGTTTCGACGGTGTCACATTTGCTATCACTGTCGCCCGGCATCGTAATCACTAAGGTTGCTGGTCGTATGTTCGCCCCATGCTTATGCTATCAATACTGGCATGCGTTGGTGCTGTATAAAATAATATACATGATGGCGTGCGTATGAAAACGAGGTATTTTCGCGTAGGATTTCAAAGCCCGCTTAATACATCTCAGGGGCGGATCCGGGATTTTTCATAGGGGGGGGGGGGGGGGGGGGGTGCATAACACAAACAAAATTTAATATTAAATTATGCTACAATTAATTTGACTCTTTAGGCTCATGAGAAATTATCCTTTATCGTTATCTCAGGCACACCTGTAATATTTCGGACTTTTCAACAAACGTTTATATTAAAGATATTTATGAATATATAAACATCAGTTACATCAAACAGCTCTTCTCACTCTATATTTTTTTCGAAGTAATTATATATATTTTCCGTTATACATTAATCCTGTTATTTAATTTCTAAAGTCTTTATATTTTTTTTCAAATAAAAGAGGGGGTGGCTAGCCATCCAATCCACACCCCCCTGGATCCGACTCAGCATCTTCTTTCAAAGAATGCATCTTTTGCATGCGCGATAATATGGAACTTTTGAATGCAACTGAAACGTCTCAGCTGAAAACGTCTATTATCGTCTTGGCGGTCGTCATTACCTTCKCCACTTGGTGAYCCACATGATTTTCGTCGGTAGAGGACATAAACTAAGACAATAATGAGGAAAATACCCGCCAGAACACCAGCAAGAAGAGAACCAGCATGCTTTAAAGAGTTATCAACTGAAACATTTTGAAACAATTTTTAAATGAATGAATTGTTAAGTAATGAATTGAAAACGATATTTTATGATCATTATGATGATGATCATCATTGATCATCAGCATCAACATCATCAAAATCATCATCATCATCATTAT